GGTTTTAATAAATGCATAATGTTATGTATCCAGCAATAGACTCATCATAAAGAATAGTTTCAATGTCTTGAAAATCACCTGTAATCAACCTATTCATCCCACCCCTCCTGCCCTACCCACTACCAATCCCCTAAAACCACAATCAATCATCTTTCAACTGTCTTCATATTTTTGCCTTTTCCAGAATATCAGACACCTGGAATCATACAGTATGTAGGCTTTTCAGAGGCTTCCCTGGTGGCTCAGAGGTTAAAGCATCTGCCTCCAATGCGGGAGACCCGGGTTCGATCCCTGGGTTGGGAAGATCACCTGGAGAAGGAAATGGCAACCCACTCCAGTATTCTTGCCTGGAGAATCCCATGGACAGAGGAGCCTGGTAGGCTACAGTTCACGGGGCTGCAAAGAGTTGGACACAACTGAGTGACTTCACTTTTCTTTCACTTGGGAATATGCATTTAAGTTTCCTTCATCCTTTTTTGTGGCTTGATAGTTCATTTGTTTTCATATCTGAATAAGCCATTGTAATCCATTGTCCCATGATTTGTCCATTCAATTACTGAAGAACACCTGGATTGCTTCCAATTTTCGACAATCATGAAAAAGGCTGCTAAACTCATTGGTGTGCAAGATTTTGTGTGAATGTAAGTTTTCAACTCATTTGGGTAAATACCAAGAAGCATAATTGGTGGACTGTATAGTAAGAGTATGCTTAGTACATTTTTTCCCAAATGACTGTATTTTGCATTCCCACCAGCAATAAATGAGTTTCTGTTGTTCCACACTGTCAGCATGTGGTCATTCTGATGGGTGTTTAGTGGTATCTCATTGTTTTTCAATTTGCATTTTCTTGATGACATACAATGTGGAAATCTTTTCATCTTCTTACTTGCTGTTTATCTTGTTTGGACAGGTGTCAGTTTAGACATTTTGCCCTCTTTTTTTTTTAATATATATTATAAATGCTTTATTTTTTTTAACACAGAGGAAGCTTGGTAGCAGATCTGTAGCCACTTGATGTTGTTATAACTAATTACAGTTCAGGCTCTCTTATAGAATGTAAAGGTACACTAACACATGTATATGTAATTGTTATGAAAATTAAGCTTAGTCACTAAAAGAAGATTCATTATCTGAAATTTCTTCTGTGTTTTTTTCACCTTCACCATCAGGCACTGGAGCATCTGGCCTCTCAAGAAGATCTGTGTCTAGTCCTTCCGATATCATTTTGTTTCTTATTGCCATCACTGGAACACCCACTTGAACCATTTTGAGATATCTAGCATATCTTGGATCCTTGGCTACAGTTAAGATACTTTCTGGTGTTACTTCACTTTCCTGTGGTCCAGAGTCTTATAAACTGTTCTGCTGTGAGTGCTCTGAAGTGGCTTCAGAGTATGTTCCATTTGTGATCCTAGTGACATTTACAGGAGATACTTCAAATGTGACATCATCTAGGCCCGGGATAGAAGATAACTTTGCATCTAAAATATTGGGAGTTGTTTCAATCTGCTGGATACGAAGAGAAAGGTCTGCTAGTTTCTCCTCACAAACTAGAAAAGTGGTTGAGGAACTGTACAGTGTGCACCACAAACTGGCTTAGAAACGCCACTGTTCTTTTCTGTTGAATAGCTGGCACCTTAGTCAGGTCTATGCCTGAGCCCATGAGAGGGAGCCCATCCTCATCCATCTCCTCAACAGGTGGGGGACCCAGGGCTCACCCCCAAACCCCTCCCCAGCCCGACCCGCCCAACCCGGTAATCTGCCCTCTTTTTAACTGGGATGTTTGTTCTTATTGTTGAGTTTTCTGTATTTTGGTGAGTTCTATCTTTTATCTTTTTGGTATATGTGTTCTGCAAACATTTTTTACACTTTGTTTTTAGCAGAACAAAAAGTTTTAATTTTAATAAAATCCAGTTTATCAATTTTTTAAGTCTTCACCAAACTCAAAGTCACACTAGATTTTATATTATTTTCTAGAAGTTTTGTAGTTGTGCATTTTATATTTAGGTCTATGATTCATTTTGAGTTAATTTAAAGGTGTAATGTCACTATAGCAGTGCCCAGCTTTCTTTCTTTGCATATGCATGTACAGTTCTATCACCATTTGTTGAAAAAGACAGAGCTTTCTCCATTGGATTGCCTTTCCTCTTTGTCAAAGATTAGCTGATCATATTTGTATGGGTCTACTTCTGAGCTCTCTATTCTGTTGCAGTGATCCATTATCTGATTTTGCACCAACTTCACAATATTGGTTACTACAGATTTACAATGAATCTTAAGGTTGCTGTCAGTTCTTCCACATTGTTCTTCTTCAATATGGCAGATATTCTGGGTCTTTTGTCTTTCTATATAAATTTATTCAACTTCCAGTACAATGCTGAATAGCACTGGTGAGAGGATATATTCTTGCCCTGTTCCTGACCTTAGAGAAAAAGCATCTGGTTTCTCACCACTAAGCATGTTAGCTGTATGTTTGCTATAATTTTTTTTAAAAGAGTAAGTAATAATGTACAAGATGGTGGATGCTCTTTATCAAGCTAAGGAAGTTTCTATTTCTAGCTTGCTGAGAGCTTTCACCATGAACAGGTATTGGATTTTGTCACATAGCTTTTTAATAACCTATTGGTGTAATCATATGATTTTTCTATTTTCTATTTTGATAATATGATGGGTTACATTAATTGATATTTGAATGTTGAACCAGTCTTGAATATTTGGAATAAATACCACTTGGCTGTGGTGCATAATTCTTTTAATATATTGTTGAATTTGATTATTTTGTTGGGGATATTTGTGCCTGTGTTCATAAAAGATATCTGTAGTTGCCCTTTCTTAAAAAGTCTTTGGTTCTAGTATTAGGATAATGTAATGTTTTGGTATTAGGATAATGCCAGCCTCATAGAAAGAATAAGCTTCTATTTTTTGGAACAGATTGTACAGAACTGTCATCATTTTCTTCTCAAATATTTGATAGAATTCACCAGTGAAACCATTTGGGTCTGATGTTTTCTGTTTTGAAAGTTTAATAATTATTGATTCAATTTCTTTAATATATAGGCTTATGCAAAGTGGCGCTTTTCCCTTGTGTGAATTTTAGTAGGTTGTGTCTTCCATAAAATTGGTCCAGTTCATCTAATTTATAACATTTATGAGGACAGTTATTCATAATACTCATTACCCTCTTAATGTTCCTGGGATCCACAGTGATGGCCCCTACATACAAGTTCTCAAAAACTTAAACATTTTCTCCAACATACTCAAAACCATACACACACACAAAAACAACAAAAAAAACCCTTCAAGGCCTGTAAGCTTAGATGGGGTACAAATCAAGACTAATTCTACTGTAATTTACTTTGTTTATGATTGAGATGAAAAGTGGGCAAAAAACTGTGCTATATAAGAAGGCTGGATCAGCAAATTAAAAAGTAGGATGCAATCATCATAGTTTTCTTTAAAACTTTACACAAGCCCATGCACCCTAGAGCCCATGCTTGGCAAGAAGAGAAGCCACCACAATGAGAAGCCTGTGCACCACAACGAGAGAGGAGCCCTTGCTTGCTGCAACAAGTGAAAGGCCGCACAGCAATGAAGACTCAGTACAGCCAAAAGTAATAAATAAATTAAATTATATAAAAAAAATTTTACAAAAGATGCTGTGGTAAAAAGATCCAACTTAATAAATGTGAAATCAAGACTTATCAAATAAATCATCATATTGTTTACTGCTTTTATCTACTGATTTTTGTAATTCACAACACAGAGAAGTTCACAAACAACAGTATTATCTGCTCTGTAGAAATACTGTCAAACTTAATCTGCCACCACCATTTTCCTTTTTCTAGTAACTTCAAGGAATATTAAGTTGCTCATTCCTCTGAATCTCAACTAGAGTACTCTAGTAAGGTATTTTTGTATGTCAGCTTCCCGAAAAAGAACTTGCAAGTTTTCTAAAATGTAACAGCATTTGTATTTTCTACAAAAGGGACACGGTATACTTGGAAGTTTTTGCCTGTTTTAAGAGAGATTTAGTATTCAAGGTAAATAAACTTGAATAATATAATGCAGTAGAAATCAATTTCAAAAAATAAAAATATACACCAAGTCCACTCTGAAAACTAATGATACAAAAAGTGTTTGGAATTCTCTAGTTATATGTATATACTTATACATATATGTAGTTTAATTATATTGTCACTTATTTAATTATATTGTCACTTATCTACCTATGATAAAGTCTATTTATTAAAATATCATGCCACATCCCCAAAAAAGCTAAAGAATTTTAAATGAGAATTTTATTTACAAAAATGTCACAGAGGATTAAAAAAATTTTATGAACACAATATCATTAGTAATTAACAGAATCAAGAAAGGTTTAATATATATATCACTTGTAATATAATACACATTAAAATAGTTTTCATGCTACCTTTATTCATTATTTTTTAATATTCCAATTTTTAACAAACCTAGAAACATTGTAGTATACATGGAACAGATGTACTATATACTTAAAAATTATGCTACATTATACATTAAGATACTAAGTCAGTTTTTTAACCTCCAGCAAATTATGGCCTTTCACCATAATTTATAAATTTAAAGGATGTAAGCACCAAATAGAACTTGAAATGCATAAAATAAACTGGCATATATTTTAAGAGAAAAACATTACATTAGGAATATAATTAACAAAGAATTTTCCAAAGAATACTGCAGAAGTAAGGTATATTTAAAGTATTATAATGATTAAGTCTAGAATGTTTTTTACTTATTCTTGTCAACTCAGTTGAAAACACAAAGCACTGACTATGAAGCTATCATTTTTAAGTGAATAGTAGATGGCAGCATGAGTCATTTTAAGCATGAAAGGAAAATGGACTATATTATGTGCTTTGGTTAGCAAATAACGCTCTTTATCCAAGTAATTCTCAGTGTTTCCATTACCCTTGAACGACAAGATTCTTTATGTACTGTGTGAAAAAAACACCACCTTTTTACTGATGGAAGGCTTCTAATCTTATTCGGGTTGGATCTTCTGGATGTCTCAAGGCAATTCCATTACGCAGGAGCAGCTCAATATAAGGTGGCCAAAAAGAATCACTAATTTTGACATATGGGTCATGTGGAACACCAAATAATCTATTTAAAAGAATCTAGGAAAAAACATCATTCAAGATATATCTTACTTGGAAAAAAAATTGATACATATATTAAAACAGTTTTTTTCTTAAACCAAAGAATGTTGATCTCTTTTCTCTTTGAATAATTGTTTAATCGTAATTTCTATGTATTAAATAGTTGATTCTCTTTTTTAAAAAACTACAAATATTACTGAATGGAAATAGCTTTAAAATGAATCTTTGCACCTGAATTTTTAAAACATTTCCTAAAAACTTGTTAAAAAGCATTTACAATTATCCCACTTCTCTCAATATTAATAATTTATGTTAGAAATTTGGTTATAACCATTTCTTCAAATTGAAAAACAAAGTTCAAAAAATTGTACACATCTTAATATTTCAGGGAAATAGAAAACACCAATCTTCCCCCTCCACTCAAAGCCACTTATTCATCTGATAAACCTTCAAAACAAAAATTCTATCATCATTATTTCCTTCAAATATTCTCAAACATCTTTGATCTCTTCACTAAGGATATTGAGAAGTTTTCAATACCTGTAGTAAATTATATAAGACTAACATTTCTTGAACCACATTCCATGAAATTGGTCTCCCTAGCAATGCTCTCAGCATGGAGTAACAGGGTTCTGTGGTTAAATAAGCTCAAGAAAGATGCTAATATGCACTGAGAATGACTCATCTTTCCCAGATTCGGGGCATTAGAAAAGCGTTGTGAGAAACACACATTAAATATTTAAACATTAATATTCTATGAGGTATAATGAAAAATGTTAAATATGTATCAATTATTACTCTACCTCCTCAGTTCCCACAAAGTGCCTTCAAAAATTACAAAACCAGGATTCATAAGGGTTAAAAGATTCCTCAAGGGGTACATAATTAGTAAAAGATAATAGATTACAATCCATATCTTTGAACTGCCATGCCAAAGTTTTAACTTAAAGATATTATTTTTTTTAAGATATTATTTTAAGAAACACAGAAAAGGAAAAATTAAATTTATATCATAGCAGTAAAGAATCTGCCTGCAATGCAGGAGACATGGGTTCGATCCCTGGGTTGGAAAGATCCCCTGAAGAAGAAAATGGCAACCCACTCCAGTATTCTTGCTGGAAAATCCCATGTACAAAGGAGCCTGCCGGGCTATAGTCCATGGGTCATAAAAGAGTTGGACATGACTTAACAGCTAACAACAGTAAAAGTGTCATAGAAATATAATTAAACTACTAAGTTCTCATCTCAATCACATTTCATGATAATATCAGCACCATAATTTTTGTTTCTTAACATTCCAATACTTAAAGTAAAATTTCATCTGTCATAAATTTTAGCTAATTCGTCTTCTTTTTTTGGCTGTGACAGTGCAGAATCTCAGTTCCTCAACCAGGGACTGAACATGGACTGTGGCAGTGAAAACCCAGAATGCTAACCACCAGGCCACCAGGGAATTCCCTAATTTTAGTTATTTCAAGAACCACATCCTGGAGAAAAAAGCTGTTGGTCTCATTTGTTTTAGGTATGATCATAAGAGAATAAGATATTATTCCCATTTTATAGCAATCTGCTCAAATTTTAATATAATTTAAAATCTTACTTTTCATTGCTATATAAAATAATATCAATCAAAATCCTACTAAATGCCAGAAATAATTAAATGTTGAAAATCCTACTTTAAAGTGAATATGTATATATTATTTTACTTTTCATTGAACAGCAGTATAAATTTAGTTTACAGTTATCATTGATAATACAAGCCTTGGTATGTAATGGCTCCTAAATCTAAGCTTTATATGGTATCCCATAGTGCACTATTCAAAAATTACACATGTAATTTCCAAGTTAACTGTCAATACTTGCCACACATGACAATCTTTATTTTAAAAAAAATCAAGTCATCCATGAGAAATGGTAGTTTTAGTTTCAGTATAAATTGGAAGTAAACTGGAATATGCTGAAAGATTCAAATTACAATCTAAAAAAATCTGTTGATGGGCATCTAGGTTGCTTCCATGTCCTGGCTATTATAAACAGTGCTGCAATGAACATTGGGGTACACGTGTCTCTTTCAGTTCTGGTTTCCTCGGTATGTATGCCCAGGAGTGGGATTGCTGGGTCATATGGCAGTTCTATTTCCAGTTTTTTAAGGAATCTCCACACTGTTCTCCATAGTGGCTGTACTAGTTTGCATTCCCACCAACAGTGTAAGAGGGTTCCCTTTTCTCTACACCCTCTCCAGCATTTATTGCTTGTAGACTTTTGGATAGCAGCCATTCTGACTGGCGTGTAATGGTACCTCATTTGCATGAGACAAGTGCTCAGGGCTGGTGCACTGGGAAGACCCAGAGGGATGGGATGGAGAGGGAGGCAGGAGGGGGGATGGGGATGGGGAACACATGTAAATCCATGGCTGATTCATGTCAGTGTATGGCAAAAACCACTACAATATTGTAAGGTAATTAGCCTCCAACTAATAAAAATAAATGGAAAAAATAAAAATAAAAAATCTGTATTTTGCTTTTCAAAGTAATAATATTCTATATTAAGATATCCTGAGGTATCAAAGGTACATGCTTTCTCTGCCTGACATTTACTTTTTTTTTTCCCCACAAATATCTTTGACCCTTAAAAAAAGTTTTTGAACTTTGGCCAAATTATCAACTATATTAAATACTTTAGATCTTGATATGACAACCTATTGCAAATTGGGTGAACAGGAAAGTAGAAGTACCATAACCACTTAGCTAGATAAAGACTTTAGTATTCAAAAACACTTAGCTAGATAAATGAAGACTTTAACTAGAGAAAGACTTTTCATAAAATTACTATGAAGTAACTTTTCTGAAATCACTTTATTCTAAGCTTATCAATTATTTTAAAAAGTCACATTAATTGTTAAACAGCTCTTCACAGACCATCTACCTTCCTGTTCACCCAATTTGCAATAGGTCGTCATATCAAGATCTAACGTATTTAATAAAGTTGATAACTTGGCCAAAGTTCAAAAACTTTTTTTAAGGGTCAAAGATATTCCTTAAAAAAAAAAAAGTAAATGTCAGGCAGAGAAAGTATGTATAGATTACATAACAGCAAAGGGTTTCACTGTGTAGATACTAAGTAACATCATAAAAATTTTTTTTTTCATTTATTTTTATTAGCTGGAGGCTAATCACTTCACAATATTGCAGTGGGTTTTGTCATACATTGACACGAATCAGCCATGGATTTACATGTATTCCCCATCCCAATATAAAAATTTTCTTAAAGTAATAATCTGGAACACAATTAAGGGTAAGATTTTAGTTTCATCTTCTCTTAAAAAATATTCTTTCTTACTACACAGAAAATAGAAACTAATTTTATACTAAAGATAAATTAATATATGTAATAAAATTTGGTGTATACCTTAAAAACTAAAGCAGCCTTTTTTTCTTTTTCAAACCTGAGTATGTGCCTGTACTTAGTCACTCAGTTGCATCCAACTCTTTGCAATCCCCATACACTGTGGCCGGTCAGGCTCCTCTGTCCATGGGAATTTTTCAGGCAAGAATACTGGAGAGGATTGCCACTTACTCCTCCACGGGATCATCCCTGTTCAGGGATCAAACACTCATCTCCTTCATTGGCAGGTGGATTCTTTACAACTGAGCCACCTGGGAAGCCCCAAGTTTGTGTATAATTGTCGATAAATCACTAATCAAGACAAATCTTGAAGACAAAACAACTACACAAAACACTTACCTCTAACATTTCATGCAGTGTTATCAGCTGTGCAGTTGATTCTTGAATGTCTTTCTTTGAGGGAAGTGTGAATAATAAGGAATTAAAATTTCAGTTCTGACAATGGCAAGCTATTAGACTATTAAAAAATTTTTTTAATCTTTTAAATTAATATCTCTTGATTGCAATGATACAAAATACACTAAAACCAAACATTTAAAATGAGATGACTTTAAAAGAATTCTGTGGGGAGGGAGGTGGGAGGGGGGCTCAGGATGGGGAACACATGTACACCCACGGCAGATTCGAGTCAATGTATGGCCAAAACCAATACAATGTTGCAAAGTAAAATAAATTAATTAATTAATTTATATATAAAAAAAGAATTCTGAAAGAAAACAACCTGTTGTACTAAATATTAAGGTTCATAAAAATACAGCTGAAACATTCTCTAAGACAGGGAAATCTTTTGTAATTACTAAAACATACAATTCAGACTACCTACCTACCTATCTATAAATATATAATGGGTAAAGTATATTACACATATTATATACACTCATATAAAGGAAAATCTAATTTTTGAACCTCCCCAATCGAAATATCCAAGCAAATGACATTTTAGACTGAAATGATACAGTTTCAGGACAGAAAACTTGCTTCCTGGGGAGATTTGCTCATCTTTTCACAGTTCTTGATGGTTCCTAATATTAACTCAACTCACTAGTTCTTTTTTTCCTGGAATGACAGAGAATAGATCACATTCCAGTTCCATTCTAGAGTTTCATTGTATCTAGCTAAGATATGTCTCCTTTATTTTTTAATGTTTTAAACCCAAGAAAGATATTTTATGTACCTCCACTAAATATCGTTCTATTTTATTCAGACTATACTATTTTATCATGGCAATTAAAAAATAGTTTTAATTTTATCATCCAAAAAATTTACTCTCTAGTCCTCTTCAGTTTCATATCCTTTACAAACTTTGATGACTATGTTCTCTACTTCTATCCAAATTACTGCTAAAAATATTCAATAGGATAAGGTTCTATGGGAAATCTTCCAAGACAATGTACTAAGTGAAACCAGGAGTTTTTGAGTTCAGATATTTAATTACCTACATTTCCTACTATAGTGAAATCCAGTACTTTCCTGACAGCAGTCAAAGATTACCACAGAGTCCTTATAAGGTCTTATAGAAATACAAATATATAAAAGAAATAGTAAAATAATCCTGACAAAAACAAATGTGATTACTGAGTAAAGATGGTAAAACTGGAGATCATCATCTCCTGTCCCCCTAATACCTTACTAAATGGAAGAGAGGTAAAAAGCAGCATATGATTCACTAGTGATGAAAGCAAATACAATTACCAAACTGATAAAGAAGTAAGAAGCAACTGCTGCTGCTGTTGCTAAGTCGCTTCAGTCGTGTCCAACTCTGTGAGACCCCATAGACGGCAGCCCACCAGGCTCACCTATCCCTGGGATTCTCCAGGCAAGAACGCTGGAGTGGGTTGCCATTTCCTTCTCCAGTGCAGAAAAGTGAAAAGGGAAAGTGAAGTCACTCAGTCATTTCTGACTCTTAGCGACCCCAAGGACTGCAGCCTGCCAGGCTCCTCCGTCCATGGGATTTTCCATGCAAGAGTACTGGAGTGGGGTGCCATTGCCTTCTCTGAAGCAGCAGCTAGGCACAGATAAAAACATAAAGGTTTGAGACAATCAAAGAAAATGCAGAGAAAAATTATAATGAAACAAAAAATGTTTAAACATCAAGATATGATAAGCATATAATAAAGGACAGAAATGGCAATATAATTATATAATAAAGGCAATGTTATAACAACATATAATAAAGTACATAAACAGCAAGGACCTAAAGGAAACAGAAGAGATTAAGAAGAGGTGGCAAGAATACACAGAACTTTACAAAAAAGGTCTTAATGACCTAGCTAACCACAATGGTGTGGTCACTCACCTAGAGCCAGACATCCTGGAGTGTGAAGTCTCATGAGCCTTAGGAAGTACTACTACGAATAAAGCTAGTGGAGATGATGGGATTCTAGCTGAGCTATTTCAGATCCTAAAAGATGATACTATGAAAGTGCTGCACTCAATATGCCAGCAAATTTGGAAAAGTCAGTGGTGGCCACAGAACTGGAAAAGATAACTTTTCATTTCAATCCCAAAGAACGGCAATGCCAAAGAAAGTTCAAATTACGTTACAACTGCTCTCATTTCACATACTAGTAAGACGATGCTCAAAATCCTTCAAGCTAGGCTTCAGCAGTATGTGAACCAAGAACTTCCAGGTGTATGAGATGGATTTAGAAAAGACAGAGGAAACAGAGAACAAATTGCAAAGATCTACTGGATCATAGAAAAAGCAAGGAATTTAAAAAAAAATCTATTTCTGCTTCACTGAATACACTAAAGCCTTTAACTGTGTGGATCACAACAAACTGTAGAAAACTCTTAAAAAGATGGAAATGCCAGACCACCTTACCTGTGTCCTAAGAAACCTGTGTGGCAGGACAAGAAGCAACAGTTAGAACTGGATATGGAACAGCGGACTGGTTCAATGTTACTGAGAAAGGAATACGTCAAGGCCGTATACTGTCACCCTGATTATTTAATTTATATGCAAAGTAAGTACATCATGCTAAATGTCGGGCTAGAAGATTCACAAGTTGGAATCCAGATTGCGGGGAGAAGTATCAACAAACTCAGTTATACAGAGGATACCACTTTAATGGCAGAAAGCAAAGACGAACTGAAGAACCTCCTAATGAATGTGAAAGCAGAGAGTGAAAAGGCCAGCTTAAAACCCAACATTCAAAAAATGAAGATCACAGCATCTGATCCCATCACTTCATGGCATATAAATGGGGGAAAACTGGAAACAGTGACAGATTTAATTTCTGGGGCTCCAAAATCACTGCAGATGGTGATTGCAGCCATGAAATTAAAAGATGCTTGCGTCTTGGAGGAAAAACTATGACAAACACAGACAGCACGTTAAAAAGCAGAGACATCACTTTGCTGACAAAGATCCATATAGTCAAAGCTATGGTTTTTCTAGTAGCCATGCATGGATGTGAGAATGGAACCATAAAGAAGTCTGAGAACCAAAGAATTGATGCTTTCAAACTGTGGTGCAGGAGAAGACCTTTGAGAGTCCCTAGTACAGCAAAGAAATAAAACCAGTCAATCCTAAGGGAAATTAACCCTGAATATGCATTAGAAGGACTGATGCTAAAGCTGAAGCTCCAGTACTTTGGCCACCTGAAGAGCCGACTCTTTGGGAAAGATGCTGATACTGGCAAAGATTGACAGCAAGAGGAGGAGGTGGTGACAGAGGATGAGATGGTTGGACAGCATCACCGACTCAATGGACATGAGTTTGAGCAAACTCAGGGAGATAGTAAAGGATAGAGAAGATGAGGTCACACAGAGTCGGACACTACCTAGCGACTGAACAACAAAAGCAGTATAAAATATAATAAAATTTTCACGAAATGAAATGTGACCTAAATCTGCCCCAAGAAACAATATATCATCAAAGCAAAACTGATACTGAATGATCAACATGGTGACATATCCTCATTAAGTTACTGAAGATCAGACATAAAGAATCTTTCAGGCAAGTAGTCATGCCAGAAAACATCTGCAGGCTGGCCTCAACTTCTCCACAGCACATTTCCATCTAAGAAAAATGGAGAAACCCACTACCAAGTCTTTTGATTTTTTAAAATCTCTGCCAAAGATAAGCCTCTAATTATACAGCAAACTATGTCAGCAGTTAAAATTTCAAAAATAAAACACTCAGGAATTCTTCTTGAACAAATTAATTGTTAAAGAAACCCATCATAGCAAATAATGGATTAAACTTAAAAACTCAAAAATCAAAGGTAAAATAAGAATGGAATCTAACAATGTACAATAAAGACTAAATGTATACATGAATGATGGTATAGAACAAAATATAAATGCAATAAAACTGGGAAAGTTAAAAATAAATAATACAATTTACTCATTTTAAATAAACTGAAGGCACTTTAGACGTCTGGCCACCAAAACCGTGAGAAAATAAATTTCTTTTGTTTAAGCCACCTAATCTTTGGTATTTTGTTATAGCAGCTTGAGACCACTAATACATCCATTTTTCTAGCTTGACAGAGAAAGTAACCTATCATTTTGTAATATGTATCAATAGTTCATATACTTCATTTAAAAAACTGAGCTTATCCAATATGACTTAACATATTCATGATAACTTCTGGTAATATGTGCTTCCTTTTAAGAATATCTCAACTCTCTGGTTCTACTAGCGGAGAACCTTAAGAGGTTTAAAACAAACAAAAAAAACAGTTAGAAAAAGGGAGGCCAGAACCAGAAATAAGTCAGCGAGTTAAGACTGTGGTCATTAAGGGGCTCAGGACGGGGAACACGTGCGCTCCGTGGCCGACTCCTGCCCGTGTATGGCAAAACCACCACCGTCCTGTGAAGTGATTAGCCTCCAGCTAATAAAAACAACTGGGGAAAAAAGAAAGATCATGATCATTAAGACGTAATGGACCCTAAATTAACTGAAATGGTTAACAGAAGCCTGTCAACAATTTCAGAAATGACTAATGGGTATAAATAATAACAGATAGAATCAGAAAAATATTCCATAACAAATGTAAAGCCTACTGATAATTACAAAGAAGAAAGAGAAGAATAAACAAACACAGATTATAAGAAAACAAAACTTTCTCCTTTCCCTAGCATGTGCACAGTAATTCAAGAAACATGAACTCAGAGGTACTACAATAGGTATGAAAGACAGTACAAATACAAATACGAATTAAACAAAGCAAGCAGCTCACAGAGCATGGTAGGTGAAGAGAGACATAAATTGTTACTATAAAATCATCTAATAAATGCTAGTAAGATGACACCTAACCTTCATTCAGTGCCTCATACAAAAGATGTTTGACTTGCTTTAAGAAGGAATTTACTATCCTCATCAGATACGAAATCTCTTGTAACCAGAGGGAATAGCACGTATAAGGCACAAAAAAGTGACAGGTCAAACTGTACATATGCTCCAACAGCATGGATGAATGGACTCATACAAGAGATGGATAAAGATGGAAAGGAGGCTACAGAGATAGACAAAATTCAGAATACAAATTCATTACTCTAAGGAGTTTATAGACTTCATCCCAGAGGGTGGGATCAAAAGTTTTATGTTGGGAAAAAAAAAAGTTTTATGTTAAAAAGATTAAAATATGTATACTTTTAAATATATGATTAAATAAATTATTAAATATGTAACTTTTAGGAAGATCATTCTGAAACCAGTTTCAATGCCTATCCTACGCCCACAAGTTCTTATTATTTATACCCCATTTTGCTTTTTAAAAATGAATTAAAGTGCTTGTTTCCAACTTTCTGTCACTCAATGAAATTTTTGCTTCTGTGAAAAAGGTTTATTTCATCAAAACTACTATTAAAATAGTCAATAACTTACCTCAGCTATAGGTATCTTCTGATTTTAAGTTACATATGTTTATTATAGAAAATTATGAAAATAAAAACAAAAACAAGTCTCACCTACAATCTTAGTCCCAGGCATAAAGCAATGTTACATTTTTTGGTACCAATTAGACTTTTTGGTATACAATTTAATCATATATGCTTTATCCTCTCACAAAAATTTGTTAGCATTTCATCAATTTCTTTGATAGTATTATTTTTTTTTCAATACGTTATTTTTAAAATCTCCATTTTCTCTACTATATGAATACAATGTAAAAAAATTATGTTTATAGTTTATTGAATAACTAGATTCCTTCTAATTTTTCAATAAATACCATAACGTGATGATGGAATACTTCTGTACATGTACCTATTTGTTTATATCTTTGAAAAGAAAAGAAAGAAAGAAAGTGAAGCCACTCAGCCATGTCTAATTCTTTGCGACCCCATGGACTGTAGCCTACCAGGCTCCTCCATCCATGGGATTTTCCAGGCAAGAGTACTGGAGTTGGTTGCCATTTCCTTCTCCAGGGGATCTTTCCAACCCAGGGATCGAACCCAGGTCGCCTACATTGCAGACAGACGCTTTACCATCTGAGCCATCAGGGATGCAAGCTTATATCTCTGAAGTGCGTATTAAACAAGAAAATTCATCAGAAAATTTACATTTGAACTTACTACAATAATTTAATATATGAATATCTACAAGAATGTCTTCTCTACAACTTACCTTTTTCTTTTTAACGTTTCTATCAGGCAGAGGAAAATGGTCTTCGAGAAACTCACCCAGGGTAACCAAGAGTTTCTCCTTATATTCTTTTATATCACGCATTTTTGTTTTCAGCTCATTAAAAATTCTAGAAAGATTTTTTTTAAATAAGATAATTAATTTGTTGATAAAACACTTAGATATAAAGAATTGGTTACTCATAAAATTAATCAAACACTCTATTCAATCTTCATTGCTCAAATCAAGTAACTAGCTTTATGAGATAGTCTATTTAACATAGGAAAACTAAAAGTCAAATTATTAATAAAAGATTATGTAACTTTTAACAATTAGTAAAAGTCAGGGTAAGACAATTTCTGGTAAAATTCACCTGCTTTTCATCTATGCATTTCATACAACATAAAAAAGGAAATAATTTCTCCTATTTTGAAAACCTAGAACACAAAATCAATACCTTGATTCAGAAAATGTCACAACCTGCTGTTTCAATTCATTTTGTAGTACATTAAGAGATTCCAGTATCTGTTGCTGTTCATCCAACCATTTTTGCTCCCTTTGAACATGAAAAAGCAAAACAAACAATAGTCAAATAAAACATTAATGCTAATTCAATATATATAAAAGACTAATGGCAATTATAATATAAATATACCTTTCTAAGTCTTCCTTTAATTTTTCATTATTTGACTGAATAGTAGATAGCACCAATTCAAGATCATGTCTCAATTTTTGGAACTAGAACAAAATAATTAAAATTAATTATTTAATCTTTAATCTTGTAGATAGTTATATGTCTGAACAATAGTGAAATTTACATACTAGGATATACATTCAGAAATCAACAGCAAAAAAAGGCTAGCAAAAAAGTCTTTGAAAGGTAAATATACACCAGGTACTAAGTTCTATGTAATACTGCACTGTTAAATTTAAAAATATAAGAGGTTTTGAGCAATAAATTGTAATTTCATACTGAAAGGCAATTCTATGGAAAATTTTCAGTAACCAGGCATATTAGGTCTCTTTTCTAAGGAGACTATACTAAACAGACACAGATGAGTATCACTCATTCAACAAATATTTCTTGATCAATTGTTAACATTAGGTACTATTGAAGGAGTCAGGGATGCAAATGTGAACAGAACAAAGAGGGAAATCCAAACAAAGAAACAAACTTGAAACTCCAGAAAGGGATAAATATGATATTGTAAAAATAGGTCAAAGCAAGAGTACAGAAATGAGGAGCAAGGATGGCATTTTTAGGTATGATATAGACAACACTGATAGCACATCAAATATGGTCCAATAATGGACTTAAATTAATAATCAAATAATTTATTTGAAAAATGTGAAAATTTGGATGCTAAAAATAACTTGCAAATAATCCATGGGTCAAAGACACAATCCTCAGAAAAATAAGAAATTATGACGAACTATTTGAAAATAAAAGTAAGATTAAAGTTTCTGGAATAAAGCAAAAGAAGTATTCAGATAAGAATTTACACCACTAAAAGCCTGTATTAGAAAAAAGAGAAAAAGAAAAAAGAAAGCTCTCTAAATCCAGCTTGAACATCTGGATCATCAAAAAAGCAACAGAGTTCCAGAAAAACATCTACTTCTGCTTTATTGAATATGCCAAAGCCTTTGGCTATATGGATCACAACAAACTATGGAAAACACTTAAAGAGGTGGGAACACCAGATCACCTTACCTGCCTCCTGAGAAATCTGTATACAGGTCAAGAAGCAACAGTTAGAACTGGACATGGAACAACAGACTGGTTCCAAATCAGGAAGGGAGTGGTCAAGGCTGTATATTGTCACCCTGCTTATTTAACTTATATGCGGAGTACATCACGTGAAACACCAGGCTAAATGAAGCACAAGCTGGAATCAAGATTGACGGGAAAAATATCAACAACCCCAGATATGCAGATGACACCACCCTTATGGCAGAAAGCAAAGAACTAAAGAGCCTCTTGATGAAAGTGAAAAAGGAGAGTGAAAAAGATGGCTTAACGCTCAACATTCAGAAAACGAAGATCATGGCATCTGGTCCCATTACTTCATGGCAAATAGATGAGGAAACAATGGAAACAGTGACAGACTTTATTTTTTGGGGCTCCAAAAATCACTGTAGATGGTGACTGCAGCCATGAAATGAAAAGACACTTGCTCCTTGGAAGAAAAGCTATGACCAACCTAGACAGCATATTAAAAAGCAAGAGACATTACCTTGCGAACAAAGGTCTGTCTAGTTAAAGCTATGGTTTTTCCAGTAGTCATGTATGGATGGATGTGAGAGGTGGACCATAAACAAGACTGAGCACCAACGAATTGATGCTTTTGAACTGTGGTGTTGGAGAAGACTCTTGAGAGTCCCTTGGACTGCAAGGAGATCCAACCAGTCCATCCTAAAGGAGATCAGTCCTGAATATTCATTGGAAGGACTAATGCTGAAGCTGAAGCTCCAATACGTTGGCCACCTGATGTGAAGAACTGACTCATTTGAAAAGATCCTGATGCTGGGAAAGATTGAAGGTGGGAGAAGGGGACGACAGAGAATGAGATGGTTGGATGGCATCACTGATTCGATGGACATGAGTTTGAATAAGCTCCATGAGTTGGTGATGGACAGGGAGGCCTGGTGTGCTCTAGTCCATGGGTCACTAAGAGTCCGACATGATGGAGTGACTGAACTGACGAACAATGAGGTGCATATATCTTTCTGAATTAGTATTTTTGTTTTATTCAGATATATACCCAGGAGTGGAGTTGCTGGGTAATATGGTAGTCTAGTTTTTTTGAGAAACTGCCTTACTGTTTTCCACAGAGGATGCACTAATTTATGTTTCCAAGAGTGTCTGAGGGTTCCCTTTTCTCCATGTCCTCACCATTTGTTATTTGTATTCTTTTTGACAAGTCATACTGACAAGCGTGAGGTATTATCATTTTAATCAGCTTGTTTTTTTTTTTTTTTATTTTGGGGGGATTGTTTCCATGTGGCATTCAGGATCTTAGTTCCCCAACCAGGGATTGAATCCAGGCCCCATGCAGTGGAAATGCAGAGTCTTAACCACTGGACTGCTAGGGAAATCCTAGGTTTTTTTTTTTTTTTTTTGGATGTTGACTTGTATAAGTCATTTATATAAGTTGGATATTAACCCCTTATCAATCATAGCATTTGGTAATGTTTTCTCCCACTCAGTAGGTTGCCTTTTCATTTTGTTGATGTTTTCTTTTGCTGTGCAAAAGCTTTTAAATTTAATAAGGTCCTATTTGTTTACTGTTGCTTTTATTTCCTTTAACTTAAGAGACAAAGCTAAAAAAACATTGCTACGATTTATGTCAGTGTTCTATCCATATTTTCCTCTAGGAGATTGATGGTCTCTGGTCTTACTTTTCTGTCTTTAATCTGTTTTGAGTTTACTTTGTATATGGTGATAGAGAATGTTCTAGTTTTACTTTTTTAAATTATGGATGTCCCAGCACCACTCACTGAAGAGACAGTCTTTTCTCCATTGTAAATTCTTCTCTCCTTTGTTGTAGATTAAATGACCAAAAATGTGTGGGTTTCTTTCTGGACTGTCTTACATGTCTACATTACTTCCTTGTTAGTGTAGAGAAAGGTAATATATCTCTTTGTATTAATTCTGTATTCTGAAACTTAACCAAATACACTGAAGTGTTCTAGTAGTTTTCTAGTAGTGTCTTTAGGATTTTCCATGTATAATATCATGTCATCTACAGTGATAGTTTTACTTCTTCCTTTCCAATTTAGCATCCTTCTATTTCTTTTTCTTGACTGATTGCTGAGTCTAGGAACTCAAACACTATGTTGAATGAAATTTGGTAATTCACATTTAAAGCTCAAAAACAAACTCCATTCATAAATTACTATTTGATGAACATCCATCTTGCTTTCCACTGGGAACCCCCCTGTATTAATACCTATAGACCTTTTTTCTAGGGCCATTACATTTTCCAGAGGTTATTTTAACTACAGTTTGAGGCTACTTTTATACCATACTGTAGGACCCCTAAAGGAAATCAACCCTGAATAGTCAATGGAAGGACTGATGCTGAAGCTGAAGCTCCAATATTTTGGCCACCTGATGTGAAGAGCCAACTCAATGGAAAAGACCCTGATGCTGGGAAAGATTGAGGACAAGAGGCGCAGGGGGTGACAGAGGATGAAATGGTTGGATGGCATCAATGATTCAATGGACAAGAGTTTGAGCACTCAGGGAGACAGTGAAGAACAGGAAGGCCTGGCATGGTACAGTTCATGAGGTTACAGAGACTGGCACAACTTGGCAACTTAACAACAACAAAGGAACCCTGTAGACAGATCAAGGGAAGGAGCTGGTACTTCTACCACACAGTATTAAAAATGTTAACTTGAACTTTCTGACTTCTGACCTCATACCAACCTTATTAAACCTGGTGTGCTGAGGTCAAAGCCTCAATAGTTTAATGTCTCCATATAACATACCTCCAGTTTCAGGTGTGTGGGTGAAAGTTAGCCACTTGATTGCAAGAGAGAGAGAAAAGGCCAAGAGGTCTGTTCTTACTTTAAAGAAATCTTATTTTAAGCTCTACAGTTGAACCCTGAATTTTCAAGTACCAGGTTCCTTCAAATCCAAAGCCTTTCTTCAGTTCTATTCGGCAGATTCTGTCTCTAAGAATATAGATATTTATCTATTTCAATGCTCTACAACTTTGTTTAAAATTCTTATTTGCTTCTATCTTACCTCCTAAACTTTGATCTAATAAACTGATGCTTTAAAAAACATCTTTATTGACCTTTATGTTAGGTTTTAAGGACAGATGTTTATGTATAATCATTTATATTTAAACTTTTAGCATTTATTATGAAGTTTAATCAACAAAAATTAAATACAAAAGTAAAGTTTATATATTTATTTCAAAATTCAAAAATCTGAAGAATCCTATTCAATAAAACATAATTAATACAATTTTAAAATGGTTTCATCTCACTCGTTATGGCATGAACTTATCCAAAACACTTTTTGTCATAAGCTATTCTGGATTACTACAAATTCATTCAGTGACTTACCTCTTCTTTTCCTAATGTTACCAGAATTTCTTCATTCAGGGGAATCACTACAGTAACAAAACAAACAAAAATTATACATATGCTTAGTCATCTCTCAAAAATTAAGAATTTGATTTTGTAGTTTCTAAGATACTGCTTTCCCTTTTCATTTATATACAATAGAATGTTTATGAGATGTGTTCAGTTTTTATAAACATTTTTATTTAACACCTTTGCATATATAGCCAAATTATACATCACATTAGACAAATGTCATATTTTCACATTTTGTTTTCAGTGCCTTTTTCTCTTATTTTCCCAATCCATCAAAAACAAAATCAATACTCTACAACGTGTTTCTTAAATATTTCTCTCTGGTTAAATGACTCTATGCATACAAACACAGATCCAGTGTATACAGTCTATGCATATTTGTACATATACAAACAAAGGATGATTAATTTTGTCATTCCCAGTTTTACTAGAATGAGATCATACCATACACATTACTCTTATTTTCACTCAACTAAACCCACATGGAAATCCTGTACATTCATCAGGAGTAAGTCAAATTCATAATTTTAAATCACTGCATAATATTCCACAGGGTAAGTTCATCAAATGTGTTGAGCAATTTAACTATTGATTGAGCACTGACTTTGTGTCTAGAGTTTAGCCTCAAAAAACAATGATGCAGGAAACATTCTTTTATTTATGTCCTTATACATTGATTCTTTCATTTCTGTGGGATAGATTCCCAGAAAGTGAATTTCACAGAAGAAAATGTGTATTTTGAATTTTAAAATAGGATGCTAGATTCTTTTTTTTTAATCTTCTGGAAGCAATGACTACGAAACAGCAAAAATATTATTAAACTCTTCTAAAAATTCTGCCAGTCGGATGAATATAAATTAATATTCTATTTTCATATAACAAAATCAAATCCTTATACTTACAAAAGTTCAATTCTTATACTTAATTTACTTTTCCTAATAAAGTGTTACTAAAATTTCTCAAATGATACACTACCGGTAACTTCCTAAGCTTTCTTCCATGCTAAAGGGTTTTCTAACAGAAAAGAGCTATGTAATTCATAGGCCCTGTAGAACTAAATAGGACTAACTATAGGCAGCCCTGGGATAGCTATACAATGAAAAAGATTCTAAGAATATAAAGTTTAAAAATGTCCCTTTTGACAAGTGTGACTAAAAGTAGCACTTCATATTCAAACAAACATTTCAACCAATATGGCAGGCTCTAAGACTATAAAGATTTTAAAACTCTTTCCAGTGTGGCAGCCTATGGGATTCACAAACTTAGGCAAGGTGGGTATTTGACCAACAAGTCAGTGTGTTCAGTGCTAGCAGTTCAAGGTCTTTATGTAAGACTGTAAGACGTCTGGAAGGTAGAGAGATATACAAGTGTGATGTTACAGAGAAGTCTGCTATGGATATACAGACATGAAAACTGTGGAAATTTTGTGTCCTCTCCCTATCCTCCCATCCATTCCCACTCCACCAAATTTCATATTTTGACGTCCTAAGTTCTAGTACCTCAAAACATGACTGTATTGGGGCTAGATCATAATTAAGTTAAAATAAGGTCAACAGGGTGGACCCTACTCCATTATGAATGGCTTATACAAAGAGATTAGAACACAGATGGGTGACCATGTGAAGACATAGGAAAAAGATGGCAGGCAGTCTACTGGTCAAGAAGAGAGGCCTCAGAAGAAACCAACCCTGCCAACACTTTGATCTTGGACTTCTATCCTCCAGAATTGTGAGGGGGGAAAAAAGCTTCTGTTGTTTAAGCAACTTGGTCATGCTACTTTGTTATGGCAGCACTAACAAACTAATATAGAAGTCACTAATACAGATATATCACATTAAAATAGGAGCATAAAAATATAATGTTGAAATAGCATACAGAGTAAGAAGCAAAAAGCACTGAACACCAACATTTTAATAGCAGAGTATGAGCAGTCTTTGAGATGCCCAATATAATGCTAGAGGAGGCAACAAGATATAAGGTTGAATGTAAATTAAAATCACAATTGTATATACATACATATCAGAGGTGCTGAAATTAAAAAGACTACTAGGTAGTAGTGAAGACATAAAACAATGGTGGACATTGGCATGAACATAGTATTAGGTTGAGCAAATGTAAATGCAGTTTCAGACTGTGAATTTTAAATCATTATAACTAGGCTCAAACATATCTTTATTAATCAAAATAGGAACCATTACAATCAATATATTTTTGCCAATGAGAAATAAGTTTACTCCTGTAGCATAAAAATCCAGGCTTCAGGATTTGACACTCTTGGAAAGCATTTTCTGCCTCCTGCTGGTTGTGGAAGCATTTTCCCTGCAAAAGTTGTCAAGATGCTTGAAGAAGTGGTAGTCCATTGGCAAGAAATCAGGTGAATATGGTGGATGTGGCAAAGCATCATAGCCCAGTTCATTCAACTCTGGAAGCACTGGCTGTGTGCTGTGCAGTCAGGTGCTGTTATAGAGAAGAACTGGGCCCTTTCTGTTGACCAATGCCAGTTGCAGGTGCACAGTCCATCTCATCAATTTGCTGAGCATACTTCTCAGATGTAATAGTTTCACTAGGACTCAGCAAGCTGCAGTGGATTAGACCAGCAGCAGACCACCAGTGACCATGACCTTTTTTTGGGCAAGTTTGGCTTTAAGTGCTTTGGGGCTTCTTGTTGGTCCAGTCACTGAGCTGGTCATCACTGGTTGTCATATAAAATCAACTTTTCATTACATGTCACAATTCGATTGAGAAATGGTTCATTGTTGTTGTGTACAGTAAGAAAATACTTAGAATGACAATTTTTTTTTTTTACTTTCAGTCAGCTCACGAGGTATTCACTTAACGAGCTTTTTCACCTTTTCAATTTACTTCAAATACTGAACAACCATAGAATGGCCAACGTTGAGTTCTTCCACAACTTCTTGTGTAGTTGTAAGAGGATCAGCTTCAATGATCCTTTCAACTAGTTGTTGTCAACTTCTGATGGCTGGCCATGTGTTCCTCATCTTCAAGGCTCTCATCTCCTTTGCTAAACTTCTTGAACCACCACTGCACTATACGTTTATTAGCAGTTCCTGAGAAAAATGCATTGTTGATGCTGCAAGTTATCTCCGCTGCTTCATCACCATTTTGAACTCATATAAGAAAAATCACTAGAACTTCCTTTTTGTCTAACACCATTTCTCTAGTCTAAAATAAATGTAAAATAAGCAGCAAGTAATTCCATTAGCAAAAAAAACCCATAAAGCTAGAAATGTGCATTAAATGTATAACACAACCACATTTATTTAAGATTATATTCCAATATTAAATGGCAAGGTTCAACACTGCAAAACTGCTATTACTTTTGCATCAACCTAATAGTTTAAAACAAGAATGCAGATAAAATTGTTTAGGAAGAGAATGAGAAAAAAGAATCCTGATAACTGGAAGAAAATGGAGAGGAAACAAAGAAAGTTAGAAAGGAAACAGAGGGGTAGAAGAAAGCAGAAGGGAGACCTAAACAAAACAAGAGAGTACAATCCATATGGAAGATTGAATACAGACAGACATACCACTTAAAGGAATGCAATCTTTAATAACAGAAAAATATCTCCTAGCTGGGTATTATAACCACAGATTTTTAAGTAATTTTCAGTTTCTCAACTAAAGGCAAAAATACTGTTGGACAAATCAAAAGGCAACATAAAATTTATGTAGCTTTTAATGCAAGTATCTAAAATAATTTCTCTCTTCCACTATGTAAGTTTCATTCATTAGGAAACAATACAGTTTCTACTGAGCATATAAAATAGTGTCTATGAGGATAAAGTGATGGCTATAATAAAGTCTCCATAATCAAGATTACTATATTCTAATGTGAGGCAGACATGCTCATCTATAATAATAAAGAAATGTATGACAAAACCCACTGCAATGTTGTGAAGTAATTAGCCTCCAACTAATAAAAATAAATGAAAAAAAAAATAAAGAAGTATGAAATTCTGTGTGTAAAAAAAGAAAACTAAGGTGACTTCCTTATAGCAATGGAATATAGACCAATTTCAAGAAAGTTAAACACATCTTGAATTCTTCTTGTGATCCTTAAATTAATTCAACATTAATTTGCTTATAAAAATATAAATCTAAAAATAAGAATCTTACTTTCAGGAGTTTCTTTTTGCCACTGACTAAGTTCAGCAGTCAAACATTTCACTTGCATAATTAATAATGACAGCTATTTAAAAAAAAGAAGAGAATAAAACAAAGTTATTTCCTATGGAATATTCATATCTATTCATAGATGAATAAACAGTGTAAGATGTGTAAACAGTCTTAATACTTTAATACAAGTCCCTAAAATAAGTGGCTAATGTAACAGCCATCTAAACTATAAAAAATTATTACTCCCAACATAATTTTCCTTTAAGTCACATTAATTATAGCCTATAAATTGCCATTATAGCAGCAATACAGTCCTAAAAATGATCATTTCTAATTTCAGCATTCAACCTAAAACAACTAAGTACATTAAGTTTATTCTCTGAAGTAATATTTAAAAAAAAAGTTATTTCTTGCCAATTTTTAAAGACAAATTTGCTTGAAAGATGCTTTTTTCCTCTTTCTATGCACTTTTAGCAAAATTGCAACTAGTTTAACTGAGCAGTTAAAAATAATACATATATAAAAACAATTATAAAATGAGACTTATTCCACAAATCACACATTCACACACAAAAAAAGTTTTACTATACCAAAATTTGTAAATTGTATATCCCTTTAGCCAAAAATAAATTAAAATAAATGTTTCTGATATTAGGTGATTCCAATCATTTTAATCTTGATAAATTACAAATCTATGTGATAAATGTGTTGCCAGATTAGACCATAAAATTAACATCAATGAATGCTTAAATTTCTGGAGAAGGAAATGTCAACCCACTCCAGTATTTTTGCCTGGGAAACCCCATGGACATAGGAGCCTGGTAGACTAAAGTACACAGGGTTGCAAAGAGTCAGACGCAACTGAGTGACTAACACATGCTTAAATTTCAGAACATTTTTATTCTTCTACATAACTTTTATAGGTAGCCAAACAGAGCAAAAACTTACATTTCAAAAATGCAATAGGGAGGCTTCCCTGGTGGTCCAGTGGTTAAGACTTCGCCTTGCAATGAAGGGAATGCTGGTTCAAACCCTGGTGAAGGAAGATCCCACATGCCACAGAACAACCAAGCCCATGTGTCACAACTACTGAGCCTGTGCTCTAGAGCTCTCAAGCCACTCCTACTGAAGCCTGTGTGCCTACAGCCTCATGCTCCACAACAAGAGAAGCCACCATAACAAGAGGCCCACATATCGCAACTAAACAGCAGCCCCTGCTCTGCACAACTAGAGAAAAACCCTCACACAGCAGAAGACTCAACATAGTCAAAAATTTTTAAAAATATATATTTTTTTAAAAATGCAATAAATATTGCTGCAATAACTATATTAAAAAGTTACCAAGTACTCTTTTTTTTTTAATAATTAAAATGTACGTATTTATTTTTGGCTGTGCTTTGCTTTGCCGTGGTGCATGGGCTCTTCGTTGCTGAGGCTTCCTCTAGCTGCAGGGACCAGGAACTGCTCTTGTTGCTGAGCAGTTGGGCTCGACAGTGCACTAACTTCAGCAGCTGCAGTGCAAGGGTCTAGTTGCGCTCCAGCAGGTGGGATTTTAGTTCTGGACCCACAGATCAGACCACAGATTAAATCCACAGCCCCTGCATTGGCAGGCGAATTCCAATCACTGACCCACCAGGAAGTCCCTCAAGTACTCTTGTTTAATCAATTTTTAAAATACAGATCAGGAAGCTTCAAGACCCTACTCTGGATCATAACACTGGCTGTTGAATAGTCAGATGGAAAAACCTAGTCTCTGAAAGATTTACTTAATTATATAAAAATTCATCTATAGGTATTACAAATTTTTACCAAAGAAGAGTATAACATAATTTTCTTAGAGATAATTAAACAAGAATGTAAAAAAGTTTTTGAGAACTATAAAGTCACTTATAAATGCTAATTATTATTATTACTATAGAAGCATAACAAATCCTTAAAAAGTAAAATTTAAACTAGGCAAAACTATCAAAATGGTAAGGACTCAATATCACTTTTCCTGAAAATATTAGATCAAAATACATAAAGTTACCGACATTCGTTTTTTTAACCTATTAAAAAATATAATTTAACCTCATACTATACTGATGAAACTCAGCTCTTACCTTTTAAAGCCCAGCTAAGGCAAATACGCAAATTACACCTGATACTGCTGTAAAATTAAACCCTTTCTAACAAAGAAAAAAGTAGTATTTCTAAAGTGATTTTTAAAAAATTTGAGAAATCCTACCATTTTCCCATTTAATTTCTTGCTTTAGAAAATGGACTAAGCTTTAATACTGAATGTTTGAAATGAATAGATATGCTGAAAAGAATAAACTAAGCAAGCTTGAAATTATCCTTAAAGGCCTGCTTGCAAGGTTGGCCCCTGGCATCTAGGAGCCTGGATCTTAAGTAGGTTCCCACCAATCTGACAAGAGTGGCTCTCTGTGCCTAAACTGTGAGAAAATACAATTTATACTGAACACCTGCTTTCCTCCTGGTATTTTGATAACTGACAGGCAAAAGGGTGCCTATGTAACTGCTGCTGCTGCTGCTAAGTCACTTCAGTCGTGTCCGACCCTGTGCGACCCCATAGACAGCAGCCCACCAGGCTCCCCCGTCCCTGGGATTCTCCAGGCAAGAACACTGGAGTGGGTTGCCATTTCCTTCTCCAGTGCATGAAAGTGAAAAGTGAAAGTGAAGTTGCTCAGTCATGTCCAACTCTTAGCGACGTCATGGACTGCAGCCTGCCAGGCTCCTCTGTCCATGGGATTTTCCAGGCAAGAGTACTGGAGTAGGGTGCCATTGCTTTCTCTGGCCTATGTTAACTACCTCCCACAAAAAACTTTGGACTGAGTCTCTAATAAGCTTCCCTGGTAGACAATGTTTCACACTTATCACAACTCACTGGGGTATTTAAGTATGTCTTCTGTGACTCCACTGGCAAAGGGTCCTGAAAGCTCATGCCTGGTTTCCTCTGGACTTAAACCCATGCTTCTTTTCCCTTTGCTGATTTTATTCTGTATCATTTCAATGCAATAATTATCTCAGTCATGAATATGATGACTATAGATTGAGCCCTCTGAATAATTGTAGAGAATCATAAAACCTGGGAGGAATGTTGGAGACCCCCAATACAATACGAAAAGACATTTTGTGGAATCTTTGGATAATGTTATTATTGACTATCTCAGGATTCTGATTATTTACCACTACCTAAGCGCTTCCCTCAAAACTGATGTTTGGCTTATTGCCTGAAAATCATTCAGGAAACTTAACTAGTGATTCTGATTCAGTAGGTCTCAATTTCTACAAGAAAAGCATCACATTTCCCAAGGAAACTAGATAATTTATTTATTGTACAATGATTTCCCAAATATAATTCAGTTTTACCCTGTACAAAAGAACATTATTTACTTATTGATGGATACAAACCTTTTTACAAAAGATGACTTGATTTTTTATGACCAGTTTTCAAACATCTGCTATAATAAGCACTTTTCAAAGTGACAAACTAGCATTTTCCTTGTCTCTTTCTCACTCATTCTCATTTATTACTTAGGAGTATTATGCTCATAGATTTTAATGTTTTCATATTGTTATAATCAGCTGAAGCCTTTATTTTTTTTGATGCTCACATGATACCAAATATGGACAGCTGAGTGCCTTCAATAGGTCCCAATGTCTTTTGACATGCTCCCAGTATTTCTGGAGAACTTTCATTGGAATTATTTGCATATTTAACTGTTCTTAGAATTTTTATTATAAAAACATTTTTAACTTTTTATATGGTCAAATGCATCTAAATTTTCTTTTACCATGTCTAGATTTCTATTATTAGCCAAGCCATTTTCTTTTGTCTCTACCAAGACTGCACAGTCTCCAGCTTTTCTTAGGTTTTCATAGCAATTCATCTAGAACTTATGTTTCTATAATAAAACATAGAAGTCCAATTTTATTTTCTCGAGATGAATATCTAGTTGTACCACTATTCTTTACTAACTAATTCATCCCTTTCCCAAAGATTGTGCTGTCATCTCTGTCACACTTTAAATTTTTAACCTGTTGCACTGAACCACTGGTGTATTTCTAAACTAATTCCATAGGTCTTTGATTATTCAGATGAATAGTTTAATCCTTTTATGAACCTTAGGGTAAAATTAGTTAAAGATTCCACACAGAAAGTAAATAACTGTGGCTAGTGTACCTAACACAACATAGGACAGTCTTTGTTCTAATTTTTAACAAGGTATCACGATAGCAGCCAATGAGCAATTCACTCCATGCTGAATGCATGCACAGTTGTTAAAACATAAATAATAAAGAATTTACTTATAACAGATTATTCAAAAAGCTTTTAGAATATTTCTTTTAAATCAGAAAGAAGAGAAAATTTTCCAAATCATTAAGTATACAGGCAGTAACAAAAATGTTATACTTGGCATAAATACAAACACATTTTGTACCTAAAACACAATGTATTCTACTTTTAGGAAGGACAAAAGGAATCATACCTGAGCATTTGAATCAGTGAGTGTCTCAGTTCCAGTAAGTGATAATTTGTTTTGACACTTGATTTAAAAAGTAAAGAAAAACAAATCACACAGTATATACCATAGACAATTTCTTTTCTCTATCCTTTTATACCAATGTAATATTCCTCTAAAACAATACACAAATATCTTATGTATGAGAGCAATCTTTAAAATCCTTACTTCCTAAGCAAGAGGATCAAGAAGAAAGTCAAACAGGTCCCAACATGAACACAACAAAAGTACAAGTGGACTCTTGACTCAACACAGAATGAAAAAATGAGCATAAAAAAAACAAAAATAGCTAGGGTGAATTAGAAACTAGATAATGGAAAAATGGGAAATAACAGAACAAGGGGGAAAGCACTACAGAAAGATAACAAGAAGACAATTAAAATCATAAGAAAATAAAATCATCAGGAGACATTGCTACTATGCTATTGAAAAAAGAATTCACAATTGTTAATAGTGATTATATCTAAGTAAAAATATGGGCAACTTAAATTTTAATTGTGCTTATTTCCTTTTTTATTTATTTATTTATTTATTTATTTTTTAATCACAACCATAGTGTATCTTTTTTTTTTTACATGTATTCCCCATCCCGGTCCCCCCTCCCACCTCCCTCTCCACCCGATTCCTCTGGGTCTTCCCAGTGGACCAGGCCCAAGCACTTGTCTCATGTTACTTTTTAAATTCAAAATTCTATGTTGAAAATATTTCAAAAGCAACACGAAGTACCTTAAAAATTCAGTAATCACAGAGTACCAAGGATATATGCTTAAAAAATAATAATTTTTTAAAAAGGAAAAAAATAAAAAAACATTAACCTGCCTTAATGTAAAATTTTACTGGGAATAAGATGTAAAAAAATGTCTATGGCTTGTATCATATATCACACTATTTTGAGTAAAACAAATTTTTACCAGCATACTATAGTGCATCAGAGTGATTCTATCTCATTAACTCAGAAAATGTACAAATAATTCAATCAAATTTTATAAATTAATTCATATTTTCACTCAAACTCCATTAAGTATAAAGTCTTCTTACCCTTTCTATTCTCTATCTTGGAAAATAAAAACCACTAACCACTCAATGGCCCAAGCTAGGAACCTAAAACTATCTGTAATTCCCCATCACCATTTCACAACAATTAACCTCCAGGTCCTTTAAGTCCAATCTTCTTAGTACCTCTTGAATCCATTCTTCTATTCGCAATGACAAGACTCTGGCTTTAGTACTTCTTACAGGACCACTACTACAGCCTCCTGAATATTCTTTCCTTCTGTAGTCTCACTTTTCTACATTCCATCTTCGTCAAAACCACCAGAGTTATTTCCTCAAACAAGGTATCTCATAATGCCACTTCATGTTTATAATCCTTTAACAGTTCCCCATAATATTCATTCAACAAAATCCTTCATGTGCTTGCCCCTAATTACCTCTCCAGTCTCACTCTACAAATCCTTCTTCTCCTAATTTAAATGTCATACTATTCTACTTAGAGTTCTCTAAATTCTCCCAACATTTATATATTTTGTTCTTTATACTTTGTATACCTCTCCCACTTTCACAGGCTAACTATTTATCCTTTTGAAATGAATTCAATATTATTTCCTCTTTAAGAAAGCTATCTTTGACACTTTCAGGCTAGGCTTAGTACTCCTCTTAAGTATAATCTTTAAACTTTACCACCATATTATAATTTGTGATTGCCTGCATTAGATGATAATCTCCTTGAGGGCAGGGACTGCCATAATTTTTTCTCCTTCTACAGCTCATCTAGTATAAAATTTCTAAAATGAATGCTTATAAGTCTAAAAAATATGTAAGTATTTATCATATAATATAACAGCTTTCAGGCTTCCCTGTGGCTTAGCAGTAAAGAATCCGCCTGCCAATACAGATGATGCAGGAGATGCGGGTTCGATCTCTGGGTCATGAAGATCCCCTGGAGGAGGGCATGGCAACCCACTCCAGTATTCTTGTCTGGAAAATCTCATGGACAGAGGAGCCTGACAGGTCCATAGGGTCACATATGGCTATAGTCCATAGGGTCACAAAGAGTCAGACACAACTGCCCACATGCATAATTGCTTTCAGAAACCAGTGTAATTCTTTCTTAAGTCTATAACTGAAATAGAATTCAACCTTACAGTAATTAATTAGTATATCACTTTTATGTCTTGATACTTACTTCTTCCATATCTTTCCACATTTCTTCACATTTTTTAATAAGTTCTTCTTCAGCATCGGCAACATCTTCCACATCTGTAGTACTATCTGGATCTAAATCTTGCTGATTCACTGACATGTGCCTTATGATTTTTGTTAACCTTGTAAGAAAAACTACAGTAAAAAATATTCATTTAACAATATTCATTGATACCCACTACCTGCCAGATACTCACCTAGAAGCTAAAGATGTAACAGTGAAGAAAACAGGCAAATATTCCTCCAACCAAGGAGCTTACATTTCACTTGAGGAAAACAATATAAACTCAAAAAAGATCAAAACAAATATAAATAAATATAAACTATAAATACAATAAAAGATTAACTATACCATGTGTTATATATCAAATAGTTTAAAGTACTATGAAGAAAAGCAAGACAAGGAAGAAACATAGGGAGTGCTCAGACAGGGGCAACATGATTTTTCACAAGGTGGTCATATAAGGTCAATGAGACAACTTAGCAAAAATAGAGAGAGAAGGAAGTAAGACACGTGGATATTTAAGGAGAAGAGGCTTCAGGCAGAGGGAACTGAAAGTACAAAGGCCCTGGGGAAGTAACATGACTGCTGTGTCCTAAAGCAGTAAAGAAGCCACTGTGATTAGAGCAGAGTAAGGCAGAGAAAACAAGATGAGGTCAGAGAGATAACAGGGATGAGATCATGTGGGTTTTACAGGTCATTTTAAGGACACAGGCTGAAATGAGAAATGATCAGAGTTTTGAAAAGAGGAATAACAAGATTTGAATTATATTTTAACACTGTAACTCTGAGTAACTACAGCCGGTAAGGAGAGAAGTAGGCAAATCAGTTAAGATGCTACTGCAATGATCCAAGTAAGATGGGGACCAGGATAATATTGAGATGGTACAAAATGTCCAATTCTAAATATATTTCCAAGACAGAGCCAAAAGGATTTCCTAACAGTCTGTTCATAGAGTGTCAAAGAAAAAGATGAATCAATTATTATTTTAAAAGTTTGGGCCTAAGCAATTGGAAAGATGGAGTTGCCAGTTACCAAGATGGGGAAGATGATCAAAGAAACCAAATTAGCAAGACATGAGATAATGCTGATTAAGAATCCAGTTTGCTGCTGCTAAGTCACTTCAGTCGTGTCCGACTCTGTGTGACCCCAGAGACAGCAGCCTACCAGGCTCCTCTGTTCCTGGGATTCTCCAGGCAAGAACACTGGAGTGGGTTGCCATTTCCTTCTCCAATGCACCACAGTGAAAAGTGAAAGTAAAGTCGCTCAGTCGTGTCCAACTCTTCGAGACCCTGTGGCCTGCAGCCCACCAGGCTCCTCTATCTGTGGGATTTCCCAGGCAAGAGTACTAGAGTGAGTTACCATTTCCTTCTCCAGGGTATCTTCCCCACCCAGGGATCCAACCCACATCTCCTGCATTAGCAGGTAAACTCTCTATCACTGAGTCACCTGGGAAGTCAGGGGGAATTTAAAGTTTAGGAGAGGGGGGAACCTTTAAGAAGTATTCCCTATGGGCAATTATCTCCCTATATTTTGGGTCTGTGTGTGCGTGCGTGCTAAGTTGCCTCAGTCGTGTCTGACTCTGCAACCCTGTGGACTGTAGCCCGCCAGGCTGCTCTGTCCATGGGATTCTCCAGGCAAGAATACTGGAGTGGGCTGCCATGCCCTCCTCCAGGGGATCTTCTCCCACCCAAGAATCAAACCCATGTCTACTGTGACTCCTTCATTGCAGGCGGATTCTTTACTGCTGAGCTACCAGGAAAAGCCCATCTGGGGTCTACCACAAAGTAAAAGCAAAGAAGCAATTTATCTGGTTTGAAACAGGCACCCAGATGCCTTCTGAGTGGGCTTCTGGAGTAAGTGTTTTAGGGAGACCATTTGACAAGTTATATTTATTGGATAAAAAAGATTAAGATGGCAAATTTTACACACAGGTCAACAAAACAGAATAAAGAGCCCTGAAATAAACCCACACATATAAGGTCAATTAATTTTATGACAAGTGAGCCAAGAATACATGACAGGGAGAGTCTTCTCAATAATGGTGTTGGAAAAACTAGACAGCCACACACAAAAGAATGAAACTGGACCACTATTTTATACCATACACAAAAATTAACTCAAAATGGTTAAAAGACTTGAATGTAACACTTAAAACTCTAAGACGCCTAGAAGAAGACATAAGTGGCGACTTCCTTGTCATCGGTCTTGGTGATGATTTGGGGAGTTTGGCAAAAAAGCAAAAATAAACAAGTAGGACTATATTAAACTATAAAGCCTCTGCACATCAAAGGAAACCACTAACAGAATGAAAAGGCAACTAACTGAATGGAGGAAAATATTTGCAAATCATATATCTGATATGAGGTTACTATCCAAAATACATAAAGAACTCAGACAAGTCAATACCAAAAAGTAATGTGACTTAAAAATGAAAATGTTCCAAAGAAGACATACAGATGACCAACAGTTACATGAAAAAGTACTTATTATCAAGTAAATGCAAATCAAAACCACAATGAGGTATCATCTCACTCCAGTCAGAATGGCTGCTATCAAAAAGTCTACAAACAATAAATGCTGGAGAGGGTGCAGAGAAAAAGGAACCCTCCTACACTCTTGGTGGGAATGCAAACTAGTACAGCCACTATGGAGAATAGTGTGGAGATTCCTTAAAAAACTGGAAATAGAACTGCCATACGGCCCAGCAAACCCACTGCTGGGCATATACACTGAGGAAACCAGAATTGAAAGAGACACGTGCACCCCAATGTTCATCGCAGCACTGTTTACAATAGCCAGGAGATGGAAGCAACCTACATGCCCATAGGCAGACGAATGAATAAGAAAGCTGTGGTATGTATACATGATAGAATATTACTCAGCCATTAAAAAGAATGCATTTGAATCAGTTCTAATGAGGTGGATGAAACTGGAGCCTATTATACAGAGTGAAATAAGTCAGAAAGAAAAACACCAATACAGTATACTAACGCATATATATGGAATTTAGAAAGATGGTACCAATTACCCTATATGCGAGACAGCGAAAGAGACTTAGATGTAAAGAACAGTCTTTCGGACTGTGTGGGAGAAGGCAAGGGTGGGATGATCTGAGAGAGTACAGTTGAAACATGTATATTATCATATGTGAAGTGGATCACCAGTCCAGGTTTGATGCATGAGACAAGGTGCTCAGGGCTGGTGCACTGGGATGACCCAGAGGGATGGGATGGGGAGGGAGGTGGGAGGGGGGGTCTGGATGGGGAACACATGTGCGCCCGTGGCTGATTCATGTCGCTGTATGGCAAAAACCATTACAATATTATAAAGTAATTAGCCTCCAATTAAAATAATTAATTTTTTTAGAAAAACCACAATGAGATGTTAGAGTGGCAATTATGAAACAAGTGTTGGCCAGGATGTGGGGAAAAAGGAATTCCTTGTTCACTGTTGGTGAAAACATAAGTTGGTGTGGCCACTATGGGAAATATTATAAAGGTTCTTCAAAAAGGTAAAGACAAAACTACCATATGATCCAGCAATTCCACTTCTGGGTGTTCATCCAAAGGAAGCGAAAACATTAATTCAAAAATATATATGCAGTCTCATGTTTGTGGCAGCATAATTTACAACAGCCAGGACAACCTAAGTGTCTATCGACTGATGAATAAAGAAAATGCCTTATAATACAGCCAGACATATATCAGTAAATTTTATTCCGCCATAAAGAAGAATGAAATCTCCTCACCTGCAACACCAATGGACCTTGAGGGCATATGCTAGGTGAAATAAGTCGGACAGAGAAAGACATACCACATGATCTCACTTACATGTGGTATCTAAAAATAATAATAAAAAAGACAAGCTCACAGATTAAAAAAAAAAAAACAGATTGTGGTTGTCAAAGACAGGCAGGTGGGCCATGCAAATGGGTGGAGAGGATTGAAAGGTACAAACTCAGTTACAAAATAAGTAAGTCATGAGAACAATGTATAGCACGGTGACTACAGAAAATAATACTATATGAAAGCATATATGAAAGTTGCTAAGAGAGTAGACTTAAAAAGTTCTCACCACAGGGGGTAAAAACCATTCTGTAAAATATGTACAGTAATGGATGTTAGACTTACTGTGGTGATCATTTCCCAATACATACAACAGACAAATATTAAATCATTACACTGTACACCTGAAAGTAATATATGTCAATTATATCTCAATTTTTATGGTAAATTTTGTATATATGTTTTTTATCATAGTAAAAAAAATTTTTTTTCCTTTTTAAATAAGAGAGCTTAAGTCCAGAAATCCACTAAGAGATGGAAACCTAGTCCAGAAGGTAAATGGTCCTGCCTGGGCCACTTCGGCGTGACGATTTCTGCCCAGTCCCTCCCTCCCCACTCCCCAGCCCCACCACTCAACCCCCACAGTAACAAGCGCTCATTATCTTCTTCAGACTGGGTGTGAAAGAATCAAGAAGCTCAGGAAATAAGATGTTTGGCAAACCCGAAGGGAGGCCCGAAAGTTAACTAGTTCTTTCAGATTCCCCACCCCTATGTCTTTCTCTCCTAACAGGTGAGATTCTAGAGCCGGAGAAGAACGGGACTCAGGCCTGGTGGGACGACAGGGATCCGGTTTCTCGGAGGTAAGGGTCCCACCGTGGGGGTCTGCAGCTCCATATCCTAGGAGTTGTCAACCCCGGGAGTAAGTTTCAACCGTTAAAACCCTCTCCGGGCCAAACGCTTACCTCCTCCACACCTCAGAGTTCAGGTGGCCTCAGCCTACTCCAGAAGCGGCTCTACGGCCCAGAACCCGCGCGCGCTGATTGCTGAGTGGATCTGCTTCCACCCACTCCACCCAATCCTGGAACTTGCTCGGCCGCTGACGAGCAGGCCGCGCCGCTGCTTCGGGATTGGTAGCCGAGCAGCTGTGAGTGTCGCGCATTTTCTGACGGTTAGGACAACATGGCGGCCGAGTGTGGTAGCGATTCACAGCTGAGGAGAAGAAGGCGCCGGGACCCGGAGGAACCGGAAAATACGGAACTCAGCACTCGAGAGCTGGTAGTGGCAGTGCCTCATCAGAACGAAGAAGAAAA